GCCCCGCGGTTTCCGGAAACTAGTACCTCGGAGGTACTAGTTTTTTACCCCGCATCTTCGGCGGGAAGCCTCAGGTTCGCCACGGGAGCTCTACACTTCCCAGATGTGGCGGTGTGACCGCGCCTGGAAAATCTGCCTATCCTCCATCTCTGTAGTGTGACTAATGTTCTGTGTGACCGCAGCCTGTGTTAGTCTGTCTGTAGCAGTAGAAAAGAGCACAGCAGCACCTTAAAGACTAACAAAATATGTGGCAGGGGAGGAGGTTTTGTTGCCCCCCCCCTAAGTTTTATTTATAATTTTTCACATCATCACAAACAGAAGTATCTCATACAGTAACTTATTTACAGTATTTTGAGTCTACATTATTTATTCTCTAACCATATATAAATTCTATTCCTTATTTCCCTATATATTTTTTCATCTTTTCCTTGTAGTATTATCGTTATTTTATCCATTTCGGTTATCTCCAATAATCTACATGTTATTTCTTGCATTGATGGGATTTTTTCTGATTTCCAATATTTTGCAAATACAATACGAGCAGATGTTAATATATACGTTATTACATATTGATCATTTTTTGTAATATTATCAGATAGCATATTTAACAAAATAGCTTCTGGTATGTATGGTATCTATATCCAATATTTCTAATATCGTTTTATGTACTTTATGCCAATACTTTTGAGTTATATGGCACCTCCACCACATGTGGTAAAAGGTTCCTACATTGTGCTTACATTTCCAACAATTTTTTGACGCACTTACATAACATCTCACTATTTTATCCGGTGACCAGTGCCACCTATAAAACATTTTATACAGATTTTCCTTATATGGTATTGCTCTCATGGATTTTATAGATTTCCATATTTTGGACCAAGCTTCCAGGTCTAGGGTAGAAGCTTGCGTGAGTCTCTGCTTGCTTCTTCAGATGCAGCTAGAATGGGAGTCCACCTGTCCTATTTATTGGAAAGTGGAGCGATTTGAGAGACCGGATGACATTAGCAGGCGAATGACAACATGTGAGACTAGGGAACTGTACAGAAGCCTTTCATGTTTGGTCCCCACCCCCACCCCCATTTTGCTCATCATGGCCAGCTTGCTCACAGTCACAGCCAATCAGATCAGTTTGGGGTCCACTGTAAGAGGAAGATGGTCTTAGTGATGATCACAAGGTGCCCATCCATGTAATGAGTACCTCTACCGAGGTGGTTCTGGAACAAAGCTCACACAAGAAACGCACATGGGGTAACAGAACACACCACCAGTGATCCATGGCAGTGCTTCAAGACAGGCGCACAAGGCAAAAGCTAGGTTCCGGCTGACTACTGTGAATAAGATTTCTTTCTTTCTTTTTGTGCACAACACTTTCCAAACCTACATGCCTCCCCAACAACTGTTCCAAGGTCCCAGCCCATGGAGGAAAATTCTGCAAAGGAACCAGTTGACCAATAATTGCTCGCACAGTATAAATAACTCCTGCCAAACTGTTGCAGAGAATGCGCTCTGTTAAGTCAAACCAATTTTGAAAATACTGCAGAGCAGTGTTCCCTCTAAGCTGAGTTAGTGTGAGCTAGCTCACAGTTTTTCAGCCTCCGGCTCACACGTTTTCCTCTTAGCTCAGGAAGGAGGGCTCCAGAGCAAACTAATTTATGCAGTAGCCCAACCGCTCACTCACCACTTTGATGCTAGTAGCTCACAAAGTAGAATTTTTGCTCACAAGACCCCACAGCTTAGAGGGAGCCTTGCTGCAGAGTGTTTCCAACTGCCTGGTACAAAAAATATAAGCCACAAACTGAAAAGGGATACGAGTACTCTACCGGAAAGGGCTTTGTGGAAGCCATTAGCAGGTTGCTTCCTTAGCACTCTTTTAAACTGTGCTGCTCCCAAGACCACGTTCCTTATCTTTGTCCACAAGAAGTAGCCGCTTCGATTGCTTGAAGGCCAGGTGCTTTCCAAAACAGCCTGTTCAATGAGCAATGGTAAATTGAAATGATTGGAGCAGTGTAACACGGACCTCAGCTTGAGAAACATACATACCCATGAAACCGAATCAGACCCTTAATTCGTCGAAGAGAGTACTATCTACTCAGACGGGCAGTGGCTCTCCAGGATCTTGGACTGAGGTCTTTCACACCACCTATTGCCTAGTCCTTTTAACTAGAGATGCTGGGGACTGAACCTGCAACCAGCCGCATGCAAAACAGAGGCTCTTCCAGTGTTCCCTCTAAGCAGAGTTAGTGTGAGCTAGCTCACAGTTTTTTAGCCCCCAGCTCACACTTTATTGTCTTAGTTCAGGAAGGAGGGCTCCAGAGCAAAGTAATTTATGCAGTAGCCAAATCACCTTCTCACAACTTTAATGCCAGTAGCTCATAAAGTAGAATTTTTGCTCACAGGACTCCACAGCATAGAGGGAGCCTTGTCTTCCACTGAGATACAGTCCCTCTTCTAAACCTTCTATTAAAACAATACAGGAATAGGCAACTCGAATGATAAAAGGGTTGGAACACTTTCCCTATGAGGAAAGGTTAAAGCGCTTGGGGCTCTTTAGCTTGGAGAAACGACGACTGAGGGGTGACATGATTGAGGTTTATAAGATTATGCATGGGATAGAGCAGGTAGAGAAAGAGGTACTTTTCTCCCTTTTCACCATACAAGAACTCGTGGGCACTCAATGAAATTGCTGAGCGGTCAGGTGAGAACGGATAAAAGGAAGTACTTCTTCACCCAAAGAGTGATTAACACATGGAATTCACTGCCACAGGAGGTGGTGGCGGCTACAAGCATGGACGGCTTCAAAAGGGAATTAGATAAGCATATGGAGCAGAGGTCCATCAGTGGCTATTAGCTACAAGGTATAGATAGGGACTCTGGGGCAAGTGATGCTCTGTCTTCTTGGTGCTTGGGGGGGTAACAGTGGGAGGGCTTCTAATGTCCTGGCCCCACTGGTGGACCTCCTGATAGCACCTGGTACTTTTGGCCACTGTGTGACAGAGTGTTGGACTGGATGGGCCGTTGGCCTGATCCAACATTGGCATCTGTTATGAAACTTATGAATGCTCTGACAAAGTAGCTTTGTGGCGGAACAAAGCTTCAGACTTCAGTGTTCCTGGTTCAACCGTCTGGCCTCACATATAGCAGATGAGATAAATGTGTTTCTGGAGGATTTCAGAGTGCATATAGACGATCCCATGACTGTTCCTTGTCTCTCACACCTAGTTTTTGATGTGCAAGAATTATTATTATTATTTTTTAACGGGAGCATTCAATCTCCCATTTCCAGCCTGGAATGGTACAGTCCAAAAACAGTTTCGTCACCCCCATCAACACCATGTGCGAATGAGGTTTCTGTCTGCAACACCACACTGAACCTGAAACATTTTAAAAGGTACAGCTATTTGGCCTGGCCCTACAACAAAGCTCAGGCTGGGACTTCAAACTGGCAACTCCGACACTCTAGTCCAGGACTTTTACTTGCTTCATTCACAGCCCACCTTTCTCACTGACACTCCAGGTGGGTTATACGATGAACACAATGCAGTAAGAACAGTGCAAAGCATGCAATCAACAGTGAATAAAACTGGATTACAAAATGCACTTAGAACACTATCATGCATACAGTAAAATGACCGCAAACAACGCAGCAGAACTGGGGCTCAAAACTGCAGAACAATGCAATACAAACAGTATAAACCACATAGGAACAAAGCAGTGAAAATTGTATAAAATTTCTCAGGCTACTTTGAGAGAGCAAACCTAAGTAGGTGTACTCAGAAATGTACTAAAGTGTACTCACTGGAGATTACTGCCAGCAAAATCACCTTAGGGTTACCCCGTTGGCGACTGATTGAAAACCAGGGAACAGACAGCCTATATGAAGTATTACTTTTCTGGCATCAAAATCACAGGCGTTCAAAATTATTAACCTCACTCTATTTCATGCACCGCTTGCTAAGCACATCAACCCAATTCAAATAGCTCCCTTCCCCCTCAGCACCAGTATTTCACTTACCTTGTTGTAGTAACCGTACGTAATGGCGTTCGGATCGACTCCGGCTTTTTTCATTTCAAAAAGGACTCTCACTGCTAGCACCGGCTGGCTGTATTGACCGCACAGCTGCATTAACACCCGATAGCACACCTGAAGGGAAGACAAACGTACCAGGACCCGTTTAGTGGTCCCCTGCAGAGGAACTCACATGCATCGCAAAAGCACCGGCAGTGATCACTCTGCCTCCTTACCTCGTCGGGGGGATCGATCTTTTTGGCGTGCATTTTTCTCAGCACGTCGTAGGCCGTCCTCAGAGCCCTTACTTTGGAATGGCACACCTTGACGTATGCAGGAAGGCAGATAAACCACAGGCCGTAGCAGTGGCGCAGCAGGCACCGGGACCACATCTGAGGAATAGACGAGTACCTCTTGGCGATCTTGTGGGCTGACTTGATCTCCTGTGTGAAGGCAATGAAATTAGCACACTTTAGGCAGGGTATGTCTTTGAAACCACCTGGAGTCCGTCCCCCACAAAGAAGGAGGGGAGGGGGGAAAGAAACAGTCAGAGAGAAGAGCTCTCCCCGTCAATGACACATGCAAGGACTTTGAAATAACGTGCGTGTTATGTACAGTGGCTCAGTGGTTAAGATGTTGAACTGCAGACCAGAAGGTCGGCAGTTCGAGACCTGAGTGCCGCAGGACGGAGTGAGCCCCCGTCTCTGGTCCCAGCACCTGCCAACCTAGCAGTTCGAAAGTGAGAAATTGCAAGTAGATAAATAGGTACCGCTTTGATGGGAAGGTAACAGCATTCTGTGTGCCTCGGCGTCTAGTCATGCTGGCCACATGACCACTGAAATGTCTTTGGACAGCGCTGGCTCTTCGGCTTGGAAACGGAGATGAGCACCGCGCCCTAGAGTCGGATTTGACTGGCTTTCGAGCAAGGGAAACCTTTACCTTATGTACCATCATGTCTCTTCCGACTTAGGGACTAACCCTATGAATTGATACCCTCCAGAACGTTCAATCCTAAAAGAAATCAACCCTGACTGTTCCCTGGAAGGCCAGATAATGAAACTGAAGCTCAAATACTTTGGCCACCAAATGAAAAGGGAGCACTCACTGGAGAAGACCCTGATGCTGGGAAAGATTGAAGGTCAAAGAAGACGGGGACGGCAAAGGATGAGATGGTTAGACAGTGTCCTAGATGCAACGAAAATGAAGTTGAGCCAACTTCAGAGGACGGCGGAAGACCAGAAGGCCTGGCGGGATCTGGTCCATGGGGTCGCGAAGAGTCGGACTAGACTGTGCGACTGAACAACAACAACAACAACAACAAAAACGTCCTATCGTTGAAGGTCAAAGAAGACGGGGACGGCAAAGGATGAGATGGTTAGACAGTGTCCTAGATGCAACGAAAATGAAGTTGAGCCAACTTCAGAGGACGGCGGAAGACCAGAAGGCCTGGCGGGATCTGGTCCATGGGGTCGCGAAGAGTCGGACTAGACTGTGCGACTGAACAACAACAACAACAAAAATGTCCTGTCGTTAACAGCCCTGCTCAGGTCTTGCAAACTGAGGGCCGTGGTTTACTTTATGGAGTCAGTCCCTCTTATGTTGGGACTTCCTCTTTTCCTTTTTTTTTTTGCTACTAAGTCACAGCTGACTTATGGCGACCCACCCTGTAGGGTTTCCAAAGCGAGAGGCGTCCAGAGGTGGTTTGCTATGGCCTGCCTCTGCAGAGCAACCCTATTCTCCCATCCAAATACTAACCAGGGCCGACCTCACTTAGCTTCAGAGGTTAGGCTAGCCTGAGCTATCCAGGTCAGGGCCCTTTCCTAATAAAAGTAAAGGTTTCCCTTGTTCAAAAGCTGGTCGAATCTGACTCTAGGGGGCAGTGCTCTTCTCCGTTTCCAAGCCGAAGAGCCAGCACTGTCCGAAGACGTTTCCGTGGTCATGTGGCTGGCATGACGAAAGGCCGAGGTGCACGGAACGCTGTGACCTTCCCACCGAAGCGGTAGCTGTTTATCTACTCGCAATTTCTTGCTTTTGAACTGCTAGGTTGGCAGGAGCTGGGACCAGAGATGGGGGCTCACTCTGTCACGCGGCACTCGGGTCTTGAACTGCTGAACTACCAACCTTCTGGTCTGCAGTTCAGCGTCTTAACCTCTGAGCCACCACAGCCCCCTTTTCCTGGTCTAAATAAGATTCCTTTGCAACTCCTCTTGGGCACCAATGATACAGCTGTCCAGCACTGCAGCTCATGACTCATCAGTTGTCAGGAGGAGGAGGAGGAGATTAGATTTATACCCCGCCCTTCACTACCCAAAGGAGCCTCAGAGCGGTTTACAATCCCTTTCCCTTCCCCTCCCCACAACAGACACCCTGTGAGGTAGGTGGGGCTGAGAGAGCTCTCTCGAGGACTGCTCCTGAGTAGCTGCATGTGGAGGAATGGGGGAATCAAACCCAGTTCTCCCAGATTAGAGTCTGCACTCCTAACCACTATACCAAACAGGGTAAAAGTACTTGCAAAGTAAGAGGAGGAGGAGAGGAGATTGGATTTATACCCCGCCCTTCACTTGGAGTCTCAGAGCGGCTTACAATCCCTTTCCCTTCCCCTCCCCACAACAGGGGTAGGTGGGGCTGAGAGAGAGAGAGAGAGAGAGATGCCCTTGAGAGAACAGCTCTGAAAGAACTTATATCTGACCCAAGGTCACACAAGCAGCTGCAGATGCAAAGAGCAGCCAGAAAATATTCACCCAGCCTTGTAAAGCCTCAATATCTGATGTGCCTTCTCAGGCTGAACAACTCTTTTCTTAGTGCAAGCAACAACAGCAGCAGAAACAACAAACACCACTATTCTCAGACAGCCCATACTCAGTCTATCAGTTTAACGGTCTGCCCACTCAGCATTTGCCCTGATTGGCTTCCCACCACTTGCCCAACCTTTTGTCTGCCCAATTCAGGCTGCCAGCTCTGACGGCGACATTAATTCCACTGTTGTATCCTGTCTCAACTCAGAAAACCCGGTGTCGCTAGTTCATAACTGGAGAGACGCAAGACCGCCCGGGCGCCTACCCTGATTTTAAAGTTCCAAAGTTCCAAATGCAAGCTATTATCGGGGCAAAATAATTGTAAGATGACAGAATGCCGGAACGACCGATATAAAACATAAATATTCATCAGAGAGGCAGCAAGACCTGAAACTCATTAGAGGAGAAAATAAGCTTCTTAAATGGTTGCTTAAGCCACAAGATAGATAGAGAAATAAAAATCAGGTACTGTTATCTGAATATTGAGCAAGAGCTGTTCTGTAGACAGCAATGAATGGAATCATCCACTCATTACACGTGCTGTATAACCAGTGAGTACTGAAAACAATTTTTCAGGAGCAGAAGAGGAAGAGGAGGAGGAGGAGGAGGAGATTGGATTTATAGCCTGCCCTTTATTACCCGAAGCAGTCTCAGAGCGGCTTACAATCTCCTTTCCCTTCCCCTCCCCACAGCAAACACCCTGTGAGGTAGATGGAACTGAGAGAGCTTTCTCAAGAACTGCCCTTAAGAGAACAGCTCTGAAAGAACTTATGACTAACCCAAGGTCACACCAGCAGCTGCATGTGGAGGAGCGGGGAATCAAACCCAGTTTTCCCAGATTAAAGTCCGCGCTCCTAACCACTACACCAAACTGGCAAATCATAAGACTTCTACATGCCAAAGGAAGTTAAACCTACGCCCAGCCGGCTCCAGACATCCCCATCACCCGAGGAGATGCCTCCAGGCACACACAAAAGGAGAAACCTGTGGTGGACTGCTTCTCCTTAGACTTCCCAGCTCTTGGAAAGAGATGGAATTTTAAACTCTCACGGTCTGCAGTCTTGCAGCTTGACCACAGTCCCCACCCTGTTCCTGCTGCCCCACAGCCAGAAAAGAGAGACGGGACTCACTTTCTCAAAGAGAAATGGTGCAACATTGGGGTTGCGAGGTCCCTCCTGGTCACTGGCAGGGATGGGGGGGTCACAGGGTTGCCAGATTCAGGTTGGGAAACTCCTGGAGATTTGGGGATGGAGCCTGGGGAGGACAGGGGACCTCAGTGGGGTACAGTGACGTGGAGTCTACCCTCCAAAGCATCCATTTTCTCCAGGGGAACTGATCTCTGTAGTGTGAACATGAGCTGCAATTTCAGGGTACCCCCGGTCACACCTGAAGGCTGGCATCACTGTGTGATGTAGAAACACGCAACACAGGCAATAAATGGGCTCCAGAGCAATGCTCCCTCTAAGCCGCGGAGTCTCATGAGCAAAAAGTCTGCTTTGTGAGCTACTGGGCATTAACGTTGTGAGCGAGTGATTCGACTGCCACATAGATTAGTTCGCTCTGGCGCCATCCTTCCAGAGCTAAGGCAAAAAATGTGCGAGCCGGAGGCTAAAAAACCGTGAGCTAGCTCACACTAACTCAGCTCAGAGGGAACACTGCTCCAGAGGGCTGCTTTAGGTATGCCCAGAAAACTTCAGCATGGCTGGAGCAATGTTCCCGCTAAGCTGTGGAGTCTTGTGAGCAAAAATTCTACTTGGTGAGCTACCAGCATTTAAGTTATAAGCAGGCAATTTGGCTTCTGCATAAATTAGTTTGCTCTGGAGCCCTCCTTCCTGAGCTAGGACAAAAATGTGTGAGCCGGAGGCTGAAAAACTGTGAGCTAGCTCACACTGACTCAGCTTAGAGGGAACACTGGGCTGGAGGGATTTCTGGGTTTTTTCCTCTTTGAAAGGGAATTGCGTGAGGCTGTCAACTAGCTCTCCTGACACATCCATGAAGTCGATTTTATAACTGAAGTCAACAGAGAAATAAACACGTGGCATCCATTTACTGAATTTTACTCGTTCAGCTATGGCATCCTCATTAATATTCATAATTGGGCGTCTTGCCGCCAATGTTCCCTCTAAGCTGTGGAGTCTTGTGAGCAAAAATTCTACTTCGTGAGCTCCTGGCATCAAAGTTGTGAGTGAGTGATTTGGCTGCTGCATAAATTAGTTTGCTTTGGAGCCATCCTCCCTGAGCTAAGACAACAATATGTGAGCCAGAGGCTAAAAAACGGTGAGGTAGCTCACACTAACTCAGCTTAGAGGGAACACTGTTTGCCCACACCTGCCCCTCGGACTGCTTGCCTCGAGCTGACCTTTTCGGCTTTCAGTGCCAGACGAAGACATTTCTTTTCCGAGACATCCTCTTGTTCTGATTTGTCCGTGTGGTTCCCAACATCTTTTTATTTCCGAGATGGGCTCTTTGCCAATATCCTTCTACGGATTTGCTGTTGTTTTAAAGTGTCCTTTCTTTGCCCCAAGTTTTCATATCGTTACCCATTTGCGATTTTTCTTCTGAATCTCCCTCTTTTTGTAAGGGCCGAACTACACAGTATGTTTAATGAATTGGTTTGGGGTTCCCCCAACCCGGCTCACTTTCTGAACAGACACATGGCAGCTGCGAGGAGCCTGCTTCCCTAAGTGCCACAGGGCCCGACTCAGACCAGAACCACAGTGCCAAGGAGGAGGAAGAGAATTGCTTTTCACTGTCGTAGAATGACATGAAGATATCCTCTTTCAGAATCTGAATAGTGTCTGTTGCAAGGAGAGACGTGGTTATGTGAATTATTCTGTGTGTGTAAAACTGCCGCCAACTCACAGCCGACTTATGGGGACCCCGTGGGATTTTCGAGGAAAACGATTAAGCAGAGGTGAGTTGTCATCGCCCTCCTCGCAAAGTCTTCCTTGGTGGTCTCCCATCCAAGTACTGACTCACTATAGCTTCTGAGACTGAACAGGATCAGGCTATACTATACAATTCCATATCCCCATGTGATTTTTTTTAAAATACAGTATTTATTATTTTCCAAACGAAAAACGCAGGGACAAACAATCCCAAAAGACACAATGAACAAACAAACATACACAGGTGAACCCCTTATTATAAGTCTTTTTGACATACAAAAAAGAAGAAATTATAGTTGCTCGTTGTATATAATAAGTGTATAATAACGAATAGGTATTTATACTGAATTTACATCATTTTAGAGATTTTTCCCTATCCAGTCATAAACACGCGACCAAGTATTTTGAAAGGTAGCTTCTTCTCTTCCTTGTAATTTCAATGTTAAATTATCTAATTCTGCTACCTCCATGAGTTTTTAAATTAAATGACATTTAGATGGTACATCTTTTTTCCAAATTTTTACAAATATCATTCTTGCGGCAGTTATTACGTGTATGATCAGATATTTATCTAATCTCTGCAAACTATCAGGCATTATGTTAAGTAAAAATATTTCAGGATCTAGTGGAATCTGGACCCCTACTATTTGGGACATGATGGTATGGATCTCGCGCCAGAATTTTTTTGATCTCTCACATGTCCACCAGGTATGATAGAAGGAGCCCACTTTACATTTGCATTTCCAGCATCTATTGCTCATTTTAGGGTAGAAGTGGGCCAAGCTATCTGGTGCAAGATACCACCTGTGAAACATCTTCAATACGTTCTTTCAGAGAGATCTCCTTCAAGTACCTCATACTCTGCCAGACCTTTGCCCATTTATTTAAGTCAATATTGTGTCCTATATTCTTTGCCCATGCAATCATGGGTAATTTTCTTCATCTGATATCCTATAGTCTGAGAGACAGGAGTATAGTTTTTGGATGAGTTTACTCTCTACACCTAAAAGAATTTTGTCGAAACTTGTCATCTCATCGCAGAAGCCTGTTTGTCTTTGGCATATCTGGATTCGAGTTGGTTTCTTTCCCATCACTTGAAGATTATGCCTCTTTGTTGCAGCATTTCCTGTGATTTTAGTTCATTTTTTGGATCTAATAGTTCTTTGTAGGTTGACATCCGTGATTCAACCATTAGATTTGGATTGGTGAAAGCTTCTAATGGTATTACCCAGGGGTCATTTCCTGCAGGAGCGCACAGGAGCGGAGCTCCGGCAGTAAAGAGCCCAGGGGGCGGGCACATGCAACAAGCCCCACCCCCTGCTCCCAGCAGCCCTCAGTCGGGCCACAAGAAGCAGCCAGGTAAGTTGCAGAGCTCCCCCTGGCCCCCCAGTCCAAAACAGTCCAGTGGCACCTTTAAGACCACGTTTTATTCAAGTACAAGCTCTCCCTCCTCTGCAAGGACAGATCTGCATGTCCCCCCCCCCCAATAGCTAGCAATCCAAAACAGTCCAGTGGAGCCTGAGCGGTGGATGTTGCCTTCTGACACACTTCCGGTGATGTCAGGGGGTGTGGCATATGCAAATAAGTTATGCTAATGAGTTATGCTAATGAGCCCCTGCACCTCTTTTTCTACGAAATGACCCATGGTATTACCCATTTTGGGGTTTTAATGTAGAAAGCTATTTTGATCTCATTCCAAATCTTAAGCAGCGCCTCTCTGAGCATATGTTGTTTAAAATAAGAATGGGAATCTGGTTTAGAATTATTAACAACAGATATTTTAAAAAAATTAAAAATTGTGACCAGAATGAGAACCAGCTGGCTTTGCACTCAAAAAGATCCTCAGGCCCCAACTCCCCTTGTAGGGCTCTTATTTACTCAGGACAAAAGAGAGACGCCAATGTGGAAATCATGGCCACTAAATAACTAACCAGAGACTAGAAAAGAGCCAAAGTCCAGGAGCACCTTAAAGACTAGCAAAATTTGTGGCAGGGGAGGAGCTTTCGTGAGTCGTGGCTCAACTGCTGAGGAACAGAAGGAGCGGGCTGGTTCAGAATGACAGTAGAGAGAAAAGTTACGCTGTAAAGCAAATTGTCGGAAGAATACAAACGGCAGAAGACGAAATGGCATTTAAAAAGGGCTTAGCAACGGTGTGCCTAATTCTGCCTACCGGCCATTCTGTGCAATGCTTGCCGTGGGTAGTGGAAAGAAAGGAAAGGGAAAGGAAATATGAGATTCAATTATGGCAGGGAGCCTCCGGGGAGTCTGAAATCCTCTTTAGAATTCAGTGCAGGCACTCAACCTAAGTACATGTTATTGAGAAGCAGAGGTCTGCACAGAACACTTGAAGCCCGGAATAATCATTTTTGCAATGCCCATATAAAACAACAGGCATGATCTGGTTTGCCATAAGGCTACCTTTTTTAATCATTTCTTTTCTTCTCAAGGGCTACTTGTTACGAGAATATGCTGCTTAACATTACCCATCTTAGGCATTAAGCTTGTGTTATGTGGGTATTTTTCATGTTAACTCTTCATTAAAGTCAGGACTGAAGGAACTGCTTTAAAGATCAACTGCCTCCTTTCCTTCCCCCCCTTTGAACATCTGCCAGAAAGTAACTCGCTCTAGATTTTTCCTGCTTTTCAAAAGCAATTTGCAATCCAGCATGCAGGGCTGCTGACGGAGAAACATTAGTCCAGAGCTTTATCAGATATGCGGAACCTCTTGTGAGGCTGTTCTTTAAATTCTCCGGTCTGCCTTGAGTCTCAGTGAGGAAGCCGGGCTTATAAATGAAGTAAGTAAATAAATATAGCAGAACCCTGCCATAAGTTCTGAGTTCAGACTGCAGAGTTGGGAAAGAGGGCAGCGTCTGGACAGCACAAGCTGTTGTCGCATGGCTTGGATTGTCGGCACATGGAAATTCAGTTGCATATTAGAACATTAAAAAAAAAGATGACAATCTTCCGTGTCAAATCTTACAGGATTATCAAGCCAAGCCTCTACAATGAGTGACGCACAATAAATAACCAAGTAACAAATACACAAAATGCAAAAGGTAAACCGTTGAGCCGTGTTTCCAATTCAAATGGGGACTATCATAGAAAAATCATATCCTGATACACGGAGTTGCTAGGCAGGATGCCACGTTCAGCAAAAGAGCTTAATACAGGGAGCCACATCTCTGTCAATAAGGAATGATGTGAATTTCAGGATTTCGTTTCTAAGTTGTGTGTGGTTTCCCCCATTATAAACGGATCCCAAATGTTCTCATGCCATTCTGTCATCGTGGGGGATCTAAGCAATCTCCATTTTGAAGCTACGGCCAGCTGAGCAGAATCCAATGATAAACAAATCAGCTTCCAAGTGGAGTCTGAGAGCATTCTCTGTCGGGCCAATATTGTAAAAGAAATATTTCAGGAGTAATTGGTAAATCAATCGTAGTGATGTGTTTTATATGTTGGTGAACTTTATCCCAGAATGGATGAATTACCTGACAAGTCCACCAACAATGGAAATATGTCCCAGGTTCTGTACACCCCTTCCAATAAAGTTCCGGGTAATTTTTATTTATATGGTGTATAAATTATTTTGATTATTTTGTATTTTGATAGTTACCTAATATGTATAAGAGATTTTTAAAAAATATATAAATTAAAATGGCGGCCCCTGGTGCCCAGGAGAGAGGAAAACATCCAGACGGCTGCTGAGACGGGGCACGTTGATAACGTCAGACGCTGGCTCAGCGGAGCCAGAAGGACGTGGCTGGGACCAGCAGAAGACGCGAGTCGTGCACCCCATAGGAAGAACTATCCGGAACGAACAGAATGCCAAAGCCAAGTGAAGCGCCGAGTGCCGAAGCTGAGAAACATCCCAACCACCACCACAAGGGTGCTGATAGGTAACCCCTACCCCATATAACTCTGTGGCCCTAGTTAGGGAAACTCGTGTGATTAGCACCAATTGTAAGCCGCTCTGAGACCCTCTGTGAAAAAGAGGATTCGAGCGGGATATAAAGTTGAAGGTTAAATAAATAAATAAATAAATAAAATAAACAAATTAATAAAAATATAATTAAGAAAATTCAGTTGCGTATGATCACTAAAGTGCAACGCTAGCACAATATTCGATGATATGTGGATGCAAGCCAGGAAAAGACAAAAAGTGTGCTGTTTTCTGTAACTCCTCCAAACATACAAAGAAGAAGAAGAAGAAGAAGAGATTGGATATATACCCCGCCCTTCACTTGGAGTCTCAGAGCGGCTTACAAACTCCTTTCCCTCCCCCTCCCTACAACAGACATCCTGTGAGGTGGGTGGGACTGAGAGAGCTATGACAGAAACTGCTCTTTCAGGAACAGCTGTGCCAGAGCTTGTGACTGACCCAAGGTCACATCAGCAGGTGCAAGTGGAGGAAGAGTGGGGAATCAAACCTGGTTCTCCCGGATTAGAGTCCGCGCACTTAACCACTACATCAAACTGGCACTACAGAAATGCTTTTCACAATAGGGGCCGTGCTGGGACAGTGAATTCAAAACACGGCACTCTGAGCCACAAAGGGTGCAGCACAGCTGTTGAGTACCTGCTTTGTTCTCCTGAACATGGGCAGCGGGCTGTTGGGATTGCTGGTTCTGGAGGGCACTTTGCTGTTCCGTGTGGTCAGAAGCCCCACGGGCCGCTCAAACAAGTCTTGCCTCAGCACAGGAAACCCATTATAGCTGGGGGGAAAAGTTCAAAAAGAAACAACATTTCATTTACCGTAGATTTATGTCCTGCTTTACACCCAGGGCTCAGGCCATGACAGCATGGCTTCCAAGTGATATTTCACAAGGAGGGGAATTGCCCTGTGTAGTAAAAAAGTGGCCAGAGAACACACGAGCCTAACATATTTGTATTGCTATTCCAGGAGAAAGGGTGGTTTGGGGGGGGGGGGGTTTTTTCAAATTTTTTTTTACTAATTGAATCGTGGAGATATCCCCCCCCCCAATCTAAACTAAAGGTTAGAAACAGAAGGCCAGTACTTTGGAGGTACTACTTTTTTATCGCGCATTTTCGGTGGTAAGCCACAGGTTGGCCATGGGTGCGCTCCACTTCCCAGATGTTGGGGTGTGATCGCACACGGATAATCTGCCCACCACCCGTGGCTCTCCCGTGGCAAATTCGCCGTGTGCCCGGGGCCACAGTGAGTTGAGTCTTTCTTGAAGCATAACTATCAATTGGGGTTTTTTACACGTTTCAGTTGTGAGAAAGACCTCTCTGTTGTGCACCCTTTTCCCAACTTTGGCCCTGGTGCCCTAAACACATGCTTAGTCTGCTTAATGGTTAATCTGCCCCTGATTAGGAGACACAGTGGCAACGGGGAAATCATTAAAGATCGATGCCCCATGGAAGAGGTCACTGGGGTGAATCAACCCTCTCTTTTCAAGGTGGCCTTTCAGGAAATCTGGCTGCTGACCTGGAATCTCTACAGTTATTTAAAGTTCAGCAGTTAACAAATGAGCCTTTGGAAAGGGACGGAATAGAAATCTAATAAATAAATTAAATAAATACATTGTGCTTTTTAAAAGTATCCTATTCATTTAGATGCACAGCTTCATTAGTATTGATCGCATTTCACACAAGAAACCTCTATAAGGCTTGTTTAGCCTCTAATGAACAAAGCAAGAGGAGAAACCCACACACAAAAAATCAATATCAACAATGTAAATTCATTTGAAAGAGAAAATTGGATAGTGGTTTAAAAACCAGAATTTCAGAAAGGCTAAAGAAAGTCAACTGCAATAATGTTGTCTGACATGCATAATTCCAAAATTAATCACATCTGGTTTTATCCTAATCATCAGATGCTGTGATACGTAGAGGGCCAACTGAGAAACAAAAGGCCTCTTTTCGCTCCTGAGAGAGGCAGGACGTTTATCATTTCAACGTGAAATAGTTATATTTCAAGAGCTCCCATAGGTAAAACGTGTGTATGGCTGCCCTCAGTCTCAGTGAGGAAGGTGGGCTATGTATAAAGTAAATGCATATCTGTTATGGTCTAGGGACCCTGACCTCGCATTATGTCCTTGCTTGGGAGCTCTGGTGCATTTGCAGAATTCCCTCCCCAGAAAAGGCTTCTCTGTTCTTTTGAATGAAAGGAGGAGGACTCCAATCCTTCCTCCACTGAAAAGGACAAGATGGCCTCCTGGGTGGGGGAGCTTCATGCATTGGATTTATACCCCACCCTTCACTAGCTGAAGGAGTCTCAGAGCAGTTTACAATCTCCTTTCCCTTCCCCTCCCCACAACAGACACCCTGTGAGGTAGGTGGGGCTGAGAGAGCTCTGAGAGAACTGCCCTTGAGAGAACAGCTCTGAGAGAACTTGTGACTGACCCAATGTCACTCCAGCAGCTGCCATGTGAAGGAGCAGGGAATCAAAGCTCCTAACCACTACACCAAACTGGCTCCCCAGTTTGAAGGGCAAAAGCGCACAGACATGTGCTTGGATTCAATATATGCACACTACCGTGTTTCCCCGAAAATAAGACACTGTCTTATATTTATTTTTTCTCAAGAAGACACACTAGGGCTTATACCACAAATGCATAGAAATCCTGCTAGGGCTTATTTTTGGGGTAGGTCTTATTTTCGGGGAAACAGGGTACTAGCCATGGTGACTGAGGGGAACCCTCCACATTCAGAGGCACTAAAGCTCTGAATCCCAGGGCCACGAGGCAACACCAGGGGAATTCCTCAGCCTCTATGCTCTATTGTTGGCTGACCAGGGGAACTAGGTGGCCGTGTGGGACAGGATGCTGGACTAGATGGACCCCTGGTCTGATCCAGCAGGGCTCTTCTCATCTTCTGATGTACTGACCAATGCTCCCTCCGAGCTGTGGAGTCCGTGAGCAAAAATTCTACTCTGTGAGCTCCTGGCATTAAAGCTGTGAGTGAGCGATTTGGCTACTGCATAAATTGGTTTGCTCTGGAGCCCCCATCCCTTCCTGAGCTAAGACAAAAATGTGTGAGCCAGAGGCTCAAAAACCGTGAGCTAACTCACACTAATTCAGCTTAGAGGGAACATTGACAGCAGTCTGCAAGCGCAATCTCTCCTCCCTCCAATTATTCTTGAAAACCACTCATCTTGGTGAGGGAATGCAGTTCTGCAAAGGCATACGATACTGTAGCAGGCATGAGTTCATTTTCAGCTGTATAATCCTGCTGCAGTCAATGGGGACTAAAATAAAAGGGGTCCAAATGTCAATGTAAGTGGCTCACTGGCACGAGAAGCAGTCTGCTCTGCGGCTGCTCTGGTGTTGCACACCCCCTCCACTTTCCTTGCAGCATGCCATGGCCCAGGCTAAGAGTTTGGTGACAGGGTTGCCAACAGGCATCCTTTTGAAAGAGGCTTAATGTGTGGAGATGGACAGGCGAAACTTTTCACAGCACGGAGATAAGCAACATTCCATTAAGCCTCTATTAAAGAGGCAGAAATACCCTGCCTGTGGAAACTACATAACTAAGGCTGAAATCCTAAAAACACTTCCCTGGGAGCAGGTATCATTTCCTGCAGGAGTGCACAGGAGTGGAGCTCCGGCAGTAAAGAGCCCAGGGGGCGGGCACATGCAACAAGCCCCACCCCCTGCTCCCAGCAGCCCTCAGTCAGAGCAAGAAGCAGCCAGGTAAGTTGCCCCCCGGCCCCCTGGTCCAAAACAGTCCAGTGGCACCTTTAAGACCAAGTTTTATTCAGGTACAAACTCTCTCTCCTCTGTGAGGCCATATCTGCACGCCCCACCCCCCCTCAATAGCTAGCAATCCAAAACAGTCCTTCTCACAATCTTCTGGTGATGTCAGGGTGTGTGGCATATGCAAATAAGTTATGCTAATGAGTCATGCTAATAAGCTCCTGCACCTCTTTTTCTATGAAATGACCCCTGCCTGGGAGTATACCCTCCTGGAGAAAATGGGACTAATCTCTGAGTATATGTACTTAAGTTTGCGCCCTATCACCAGTCTGTTTTTAACAGAAATACTCCCAATGTGTGGAGGATTCTGCCTTGAAAACTAAAGAGCTGGAAGCTGTGATTTGCCGTTTCCTCCCGGCCGGAAGCAAAGCATGAAATGAAGTTAGTTACAGTTTACAAAACCAATCTGGTTACAGCTTCCATTATGACAGTAACCCACGACATAGGAGAACTTCTGGAGCAGACACAATTAAGGAACACTGTTGGGCTAGGGCTCTCACGTTCCAAGGCTGCAGTTCCCAGCCTTTTCAGTGTGGTGGTGACCCACCCGAGGCCGGCCCAAACTTTTTCGGGCCCTGGGCATCCATCTAGTTCAGCATTGTTTTCTACAGTGGCTAACCAAATGTTTTTTGAGAAACCAATAAGCTGCACAAAGGGTGCAGCTGCTGCCACCACTATGAATTCTAAGCAAGTGGCATTCCAACATACACAACCTTTGCACATGGAGGTGACATTCCAGCCTTTGACCACCCCTCTCCTTCTCCACCTAAGATTCTAAGAAACTCATTCTAGTAACCATCAGGCCACTTTTTACTTGATCAACATGTACCTAGTGGAACTCTCAGCCTGAGAACATCCGAGCCCGGCAGGATTTGTTAGCTTTCCGCAGGGCAAGTAAGGCAGAGATATTCCACCGGGCTTTTGGCTGAGGACAGCAGTGGTATAATTAGGTGATCTGGAACCCTCCTCATATACGTCTTCCCCTTATGTCTCCCCCCCCCCCCATCTTTCACAAGTCTCTTCTGGGAGGTCTGCGATCTGTCAAATTAGGAACTCTGATAGTCAGCCATCTTGGAGTTACGTTTTTTAATTAAGGACTGTTGTTTTCTTGTTGGTTTTTAATTTTTAAAAAAACTTATATATTTATTGGACATCCCTGCTGTAAGCCGCCCTGAGCCGTGTTCACAGGTATCATGCCTGCCCTTGACTCAGCCCCAGCTCCAGCTCCTGACAGCCTAAGAGGGGAGGATTCCGTGCTTTTAAGAGCTGAAGAAGCATCAGGATCTGCACCTACTGTAAGTACGGAGGATGATACACAGCAATCTGAGCCAACTACAGGACGGTTTGCACCTGGGATCTGGCTAGCCGACGAAAAGAAGCACGTTCAAGAGGGCGGAGATCCTTGAGCCCTGAGTTTTAACAGCAGCCAGGACCTCGCACAAAGGTGCTAATGAGTTAATGGGCCAGAGCACTATTTAGTAGGGCCTCTGGCCATGAGCACTTTGTGCTGGCAACCTTGTTCGTAGAACCAGAAGCTCTGCACCTTGATTCCTGTTTGACTCTGTGGCTTTTTGGACTCGGCTTGTGTTTCTGGACTTCTGCTCTGGCTCCTGACTCCCAGCTTAGAATCTGATGATGCTCTCAGCTGTGCTCTCTGGACTCTGACCTCTGGTAACGTTTGACTACGGCTGTGTCTGGTGTTTTGGGACTTGTTTAACGCTCTGCTGACTGCTCTCCCGGCTGACCCTCGGACTTGTCTTGTGACCCACCCTCCCAGCCTGACTCCCTGGCTCTACCGTGACAACAGGGGAGGGCTGCCTGGAAATTTAATAAATAAAATAAAATAGATGCGGTGAGGGGGAAAAATGGAAGATACAGTTTCCAGAGTCAGATCTTGGGTTTCCCAAATATGAAAAAGAGAGCAATGGAAAGGGCACGGTGGCCATGACAGAGGGCTGGCCCGCAACGCACTTGCAGAGGCTTCATGAGCCAACTTTGGAGTCCCGACCCACAGGTTGTGGAACAATGCTCTAATGCATACCTGTACTGCGAAGGAAGTTCTTCTCCGTTGGGAAGGTGAGGAATCTCTGGAGGAGTGATGAACACAGTATGCTCACTTCTGTAGGACTCATCCAGTTCTATAAGCCGTACATCACCAGTCCGATCTGTATCTACCTGAACAAAGTGCATGAACAGGAAGAATCACATATCCGGCGTTGTATGGATTTGGACAGTACGTGTGTATGCAGAACCAAAAAAAAAAAGTATCAAATTTTTTAATACATAATCAATATCCATCGCATTATGACCTTTCAATCATTCTTAATACAGGCCTTTTTGGAAACCTAAAAATTAAGATGAAAAACACTGAAAAATAATTTATTTGGACATGAATTTTGACATGTTGCGGAGATATACAGCAAGCAGCACCCTGGGTACTTATTCACTTCGATAATTATCCTGCAAATGATTTCATATGGTTTTTCCACACAGAGGATGTTTTTCAGCCACTCATATTGTCTGAAACTTTATTTTGCACGCTGCAGAGGCTGAGGGCTCCAGTCTGTCGAAACATTTAGCCGAGCTAGCTCTACAGACCTGCTCCGCATAAGTAAATTGTGATTTCAAGAAATGACTATAAACATACAAATAAACCACAACTTTCTTTGAAAAGATCGAATCCCTTCACAGGAGCCTGTCAGTTCAGGCCATTCGCAACTGGGGAACTTTTTTGAAACACAGAGTAGAATTGACTGTGATCAATAATAGCCACGTCAAGGAACCTGCCACCTTCTTGAGCCACTGGAAGATGGGGAGAAGAAATGTTCACAATTCCTGAATACCTCTCAAGTGTACATGTACTTTAGGTTTACAGCAGTTACCTGAAGAGTAATCTTGCAAAAGACTCACTGGAAAAGACAATAATGCTAGGCAAAGCTGAAGGCAGCAGAAAAAGAGGAACGCCCAGCATGAAATGGATCGACCCAATAAAGGAAAACACAGCCCACCGTTTTGCGAGAGCCAAGGAAGGCTGTTAATGACAGGACATTTTTGCAGGTCATAAGTTCACAGGGTCGCCGTAAAGTTGGAAGCCACCCGATGGCACCTAACACACAGTCTTGCAAAAAAAGAACATCACTATCATCAGAACGGTTCTATAGTTCTGAAAACTGTTAAGGTTGCATTACGTTGTGACTTGAGAGTCAACCTGTGAAGGATTCAATTACTTGGATACCGACGGACTAAATGAAATCTGTAGGAAGCAAAACCTCGGCACCAGAATCAATTAGATTAACACAGTGCAAGGAGTGTAGAGGGACACAGAGAGAGTGTAGCTGCTGCCCTTCACGCCCTGTTCCTCCACTGGCCCTGTCGGCCACCCAGCCAGCTGGGGGAGAACTGAAAATTCAACTAGAAATGCAAAAATGCTTCAGTGAGTGCCATGTCCAGTCCAAAGCAAATCAGGATTGTTACTTAAAGCACAAGCAGATCCAAGACTGCCTATCTCTATCTGAGTGAAATCAAGGGCATATCCTGGGATGAAGATTCCGTCCCCCTGGGTTGATCTCCAGATGACTCAACCAGTTGATCTACTGCACGGAGGGCCAAACCTGCTCAACGTCAGAGCCACATAGAATAGACATCAGATGCTTGAGAGCCATAAGACGGGAACAAATATTACACTCAACATTTTAATTTATTTAAGTATGCAGATTTGCTTTTTACAAACATTAAATGAGATTGTCAGAAATAAAAACAAAAGGGGTAAAAACAGATATTGATAATGATATTTATTTGTTTGCTAATGATACTGATTTGCCTAAGAGAGAGAAAGAGACAGAGAGATGGAAAGAAAGAATGAAAGGGGTGGAAAGAAAGAGAGAGAGAGAGAGAGAGAGAGAGAGAGAGAGAAACAAAGAGAGCAAATAGATGGATGGGAGGGAGGGAGGGAGGGAGGGAGAACAAGCATGCCTCCCCTTCGCTTCCCCAGCTGCCCTGCCGAGGGCCGCACGATATGTGTGAAAGAGCCGCATGTGGCTCCCAAGCCACAGTTTGGCCACCCCTGATCTACCGACTGTGGACTTCTCAGACATGCTCCACAGTCAGGGATAACAGGTATTTCTTGAGCCCCCGAGCAGACTTGATATCTTTTCCTGCAGCTCTCAGGAGCTGAAGCTGCCCTGCCATTTGACATTAGCGTTTTTTTCACTCTGAAGCTGGGCTTGAAACAAAGGAGGACTAGGCGCCTAGAGAACAGTGGCACAGCTTCCTATTTGGGATCATTTCCTTTGGATCTCCAACTCCACATAGCAGAGTTCCCAGCCACAGAGAGATGGTAAGAGGATGGCGGCCATCAGGGGGAAGGGAGGCATGGGAAGGAACTATAACCCCTCTGGGCTCTATCATGCTGGAATGGCAGAAGAAGCTCCCGGTGTGACACCTGGTCCAATGGTCACAGGTTATATGAGTGAGACTTGGAGCAAACATTATCTGGATTGAGTTAGGTGATCTTTCTCCACCTTTCTCCCAGGAAAGAGGTCTGCCCCCCCGGGGAAGGGACTATGTTCCAGTTTTGGTAGAGGATGCTCTCCTGGACACTGGCCAGCTGTGAGCCTTTGAGTCTGATGCAGAGCTATTCTGAGCACTGCAACAAGAACTTAGGAGCAAACTGTTCCGGTAAGGATCAATACCAGCTTTGGCACTACTGAAAATCCTCAGTTTTCTGAAAACACTGGGGGTAAGGTGGGGGCAGACGAGAGGGATTTATACTGAAATTAATCACAAGTGAAACATAAGGTCTGGTAGAATCAGAAACTGAAGGCAGTCTTCTGTTAAGAGTCCAGAAGGAGTGAGCAATGACTCACGAAAGCTCCTCCCCTGCTACAAATTTTGTTAGTCTTTAAGGTGCTACTGGACTCCTGCTCTTTTCTACTGCTACACACAGACTAACACAGCGACCCTTCCAGGTCAGTCTTCTGTTAGACAGGCAAGTCTGACATCACCAGACTAGACAACGTCCAGGATATATTTGCCAAGTCTCTTGGTCCACAAGAACTTGATGATACACTTGAGATCCAGGAAGGCCCTTCAGCTAGGCTTTGCAAGTGCTTGGGCCTGGCAGCGAATTCCAAGCTCCCAGCCCCAATCTCCTGCCCTTGAGAAGCTGAGGACCTGGAGGGAAAAAAAGGCCTCCATAGTGATGCTCTAGGAATTTCCCCTAGTCTCTATGGTGTTTACCACAGAGATTAGGTGAAGTTCCTTGAGTGTCACCAAGAAGTGCCAAACTCTGTCCTCCGCAGGCACCACCCCCAAGCATCCTCTCCAAGCATTTGCCTAGGCAGGCAGTGTCAGGAACCCCACCTCCAGTTCCCATTTTTCTTCAACTGTGGGGGAAACTATGGAGAAAACACAGCAGGGTCTCCCCTGCAGCAGTATTTCCTTGATTTCTGCGGTGTCCAACAGGCGATTTATTATTGTCAATACTGTGATGTTTTTCTGTGTCCTCCATCAGGACACACGAAACCTGTCTGGAAGGAGAAGCCTCTACAAAGGACCTTGCGAGCTGCAGAGTAATAAGTCTGCCTGTTCGCTCAGTGGAGGCAAAATGAAAAACTGTGTGGAGGGAGGTGCGGATAGTTCTCCCAAGGAAAGCAGAATTTTTCCCCCTAGAAGTCCTGCTTCCAAAACGGGACGGGAGAAGAAGAGGAGGAGGAGGAGGAGGAGGAGGAGATTGGATTTATACCCCGCCCTTCACTACCCAAAGGAGTCTCAGAGTGGCTTAAAACTCCTTTCCCTTTCCACAACAGACACCCTGTGAGCAGTGTTCCCTCTAAGCTGAGTTAGTGTGAGCTAGCTCACAGTTTTTTAGGCTCCAGCTCACACATTTTTGTCTTGGCTCAGGAAGGAGGGCTCCAGAGCAAACTAATTTATGCAGTAGCCCAATCGCTCGCTCACAACTCTAATGCCAGTCGCTCACAAAGTAGAATTTTTGCTCACAAGACTCCACAGCTTAGAGGGAGCGTTGCCTGTGAGGTAGGTGGGGCTGAGAGAGCTCTGACAGAAACTGTTCTTTCAGGGACAGCTGTGCCAGAACTATGGTTTGCCCAAGGTCATCCGGCAGCTGCAAGTGGAGGAGTGGGGAATCAAACCCGGTTCTCCCAGATTAGAGTCCACGCACTTAACCACTACACCAAACTGGCTCTTCTCTCAAGAACCTTCCTCTACCAATGGAGAATATATTTGTACACTGTGATGCTTCATTCTCCATTGGAACAGACATCAGTTCACGTGAGCAGAAGCGTCAAGAGCCTGGAAAGAAAGAAAGAAAGGAAGGAAGGAAGGAAGGAAGGAAGGAAGGAAGGAAGGAAGGAAGGAAGGAAGGAAGGAAGGAAGGCAGGCCATCCCTCTCTCCACGTTGTCAGGATATAACCATCATGGACAATCTGGGACTCAAAAGGCACTCTGAACTGCTACAAAGAACACTACATCACAGCCGACTGCGTGTACTACTGGCAACGAAGAAACGCTCCCAGCGTGCTTACTTTGTTTACGCAGTCATCGAAAAATGCAAGGCTTGTATCTTTATCACTGACAAAGGAGCACTCTTCAATGAAGCGGATGAACATCTGCGTCTTGGTCATCAAAGTGTAAAACTTCTGATGCGAACGGTCACGGCTTTTTAAGAATCCTGTTAAGAAAACAGTGATACCATTAATATAATTGTCACAGAAATCAAAGAACTTGCATGCCACTAAAAATTGAGAACAGCTGAACTGTACTATAAGGGGGGGAGGGCATTCAGGACCTGCTCCTCCACTGGTCCCTCTCAGCATGCCACACAAAGCTGGTCCCCCCCCACCCCGCAAGGCCTCCGAATTGGGAGGGGAGGGGGTTTCCAGCTCCTCATTCCTTCTGCTGCCAGCCCCCTTGCTCACAGTCTATAGAGCAGGGGTGTCGAACTCATTTGGTATGAGGGCCAGATCTGACATAAATGAGACCTTGTCGGGCTGGGCCACGTGTGTCATAAACACTGTTCCCTCTAAGCTGAGTTAGTGTGAGCTAGCTCACAGTTTTTTAGCTTCTAGCTCAGACATTTTCCTCTAAGCTCAGGGAGGAGGGCTCCAGAGCAATGTTCCCTCTAAGTTGTGGAATCTTGTGAGCAAAAATTCTACTTTGTGAGCTACCGACATTAAAGTTGTGAGCGAATGATTTGGCTACTGCATACAGTAGTTTGCTTTGGAGCCCTCCTTCCTGAGCAAAGACAAAAATGTGTGAGCTGGAGGCTAAAAGAATGTAAGCTAGCTCACACTAACTCAGCTTAGAGGGAACACTGCTTCAGAGTGAACTAATTTATGCAGTAGCCAAATCCCTCACTCACAACTTTAATGCCAGGAGCTCACAAAGTAGAATTTTTGCTCACAAGGCTACACAGCTTAGAGGGAACATTGGACGTAATGCCAGGTAGCAAAGATATAAACTTTATAAAGGACACAAACACAAAGGGTTTTTTTTTACTTAAAATAAAAACATGCTTAAAACATGAGCACTCCTGCAGTATTTTGTTCATTTCACAGTGTCTGGTAACTGACACCTCTTGCTCTGAATGACTGCATCGAAATATCTGTGCTGTTGCCATCCTGAGTATGCTGTTCAGGTGTGTATCTGTAAGCTGCAAACCTACGATGGCGCAGCAGCAGCAGCAAAACTGGAAGGAGAAGCAGGAGACAGCCAGTTCCACTGCGGGCCTTGATAGAAGCCCTCCGGGGGCCTGATCTGGCCCCCGGGGCCGCATGTTTGACACCCCTGCTATAGAGGGTGGCCGGGTGCCCTCCCCACCAGGCCCCTCCCAGCTGCTATTAAAGACGGCCTGAAAAGCCACGTGTGCCTTCTCTCCCAGGCCCTGTTCTCTCACAGGGATTCCCCTCTCTGCGGGAGAAAGGGAGCCACCCAGTTTCCCCTAAAGCAGTCCCAGGTCTCTGATGAAGAGTGGCTCTTTAGAGACAGGCTGTCAGGAAGGCAACCATTTGTCAGCTAAGCTGCCATGAGTAGGGAGAGACGTTCTAATTGCTTTGCATTCCTTCCCATGCGCTTAATCGCTTTACAGCTGCAATGCTTATCTATTCAGAGTCACTGGAGGTTCCCAGCTTCTGGTCCCCAGCTTCGCTACCGTTAGAGACCCTCGCCATCGCCATTGGGTATTACTAGGGGGGGGCATACGAATGCCCTATATCCTATTATGCGCATAGGTAGTCCGCCATTCCTAACAGTGTTCGTGTTATTGTATCTATGGCTTTTCAATAAAAGTAAAACCTTCCTGGAAGCGTGTACTTCGTTGTTTGGCTGTGGATCCTGACACCATTCCCCCACCTTGACACAGCACCCAGCCGGTCAGGCATTCCCCCACCTTGACACAGCACCCAGCCAGCCAGGGAGAAGCCCCCCCCCCCCACGCCAGGCATCTCTATCAAAAACCTCACTGATCATTATTGTGGTTTATTCATTGATTTAAATTTATAGCCTTTCCCCTCCCCCCCCAAGGAGGACCCAAAGCAGCTCACGTCCTTCTCCTCTCCTCCATTTTATTCTCACAACAACCCTGTGATGTAGGTCAAGCTGAGAGCAGCATTCCCTCTAAGCTTAGTTAGGGTGAGCTAACTCACAGTTTTTTAGCCTCTGGCTCACACGTTTGGTGTAGTGGTTAAGTGTGCGGACTCTACTCTGGAAGAACCGGGTTTGATTCCCCACTCCTCCACTTGCACCTGCTGATGTGCCCTTGGGTCAGTCGCACGCTCTGGCACAGCTGTCCTTGAAAAAGAGCAGTTTGTGTCAGACTTCTCTCAGCCCCACCCACCTCACAGGGTGTCTGTTGTGGGGAGGGGACGGGAAAGGAGTTTGTAAGCTGCTCTGAGACTCCAAGTGAAGGGCGGGGTATAAATCCAATCTCTTCTCTTCTTCTTCTTATGTCTTGGCTCAGGAAGGGATGGCTCCAGAGCAAACTAATGTATGCAGCAGCCAAATCGCTCATTCACAACTTTAATTCCAGTAGGTCACAAAGTAGAATTTTTGCTCACAGGACTCCATAGCTTAGAGGGAGCGTTGGCTAAGAGTGCATGATTGGCTGGAGGCCGTCCATCCAGCTTCCCTGACGGAGAGGGGATTCAGGTTTAGGTCTTCCAGATCCTAGTCTGACATTTTAATCACACCACCATAATGGCTTCAGATGCAGCAGTCAACTAAATCGTGGCTAAAGGTGTTAAGCCAGTAGCAGTGTTTTAAAAGGCCAAATAAAAGTGGAGATTAAGGGTGTTTTCACTGATGAGGCTTAACCGACCATAATCTAAATTATCTTTCGATTCCAATTTAAAACCTACATTGGCCAGGATTATTTTATTTCTTTTCAGAGCTCCTCCCTGTATTAGTAGCAGGGATCACACACACACACAAAACTCAAATGTATTTTTAGCGTGCTGCACACCAAAGTGCCCTAAAACTAGATCTGATACAAAATTTTGCCTAAAGCCAAGTTTGAAACAAATTTGGAGAGTCATACTGAGATGAAAGAAACTGTGGGAACAACAGAGGAACTGAAATACGACATCATGTTCAAACTGGCTAAAAACTGTCCAGGCAACTCAGCACAATCTCTTGCGGTTTCTTCAAGCTTCTGATTCCGTTCCTTTACCTTGCAGTTCAAAGAGAGAACTGGCGTCTGTTGCTGTTTCAGACGGCGCTTGGGTAATAGGCCTAAGGTAGGACCTGTAACCTTTTAGTAAAGAGGCCATGAAACAGAGAAATGCCTCCTGGATCTCCACATCTAATAAGTGCATCTTCTTTCCCGAATGAAAATCATAGTCATTCATAGACAGTTCCATCAACGCATCGTCCCTCGGTCTTTGCTGCACTGTGAACGAAGACGGAAAATGGGAAATGATTGTCCACGTTAACAAAAAAAGGTGGTTTCGTTTTTGTTATGCGGGGCTCGTTTCACTGCCCACTTCAGTAGCCTGGCCTTGCTAAAATAAAATGACTTATGGCCTCTTAAAGACTAACTAATTCTGGTGTATGTTTTTATAAGCCGCGGCCCACTTCGTCAAACGAGGGACTTCTTACATTCCGTCGGTAGACAGAGCTAGTTGGCAGCAGAGATGGGGGGGGGGGGTGTTTTACAAAGAAGGTCCAGAAGAGCCGGTTTCTCAGGGCATCGGATTGTTATATCACACTGCAGAGCACACGTGATGCTCAAAGCCCACCTCACTGTTCGGCACTTTGTTAAGTCACCTAAATCTGGTTTAAATATATCTCACTGTTTACTTAACGTGGTGGGGAAGCATGCAAATCACTGGTTTCTGCAACGTACAAAAGACCTAGACATTTACGTTCGCGGAAGAGTAGGTTGCTATGGAAACACTGACAGAATTGGTCTAGGTAGAAAACTCAGTGACATCTGCAAAGAAAAAACGGCAATTTATGTAAAGTGCTAAATATATATATATATACATCATTGAAGCCGGGGAGGAGGGGGTGAAACCAGAAAAGAACTCCTGGACCGCTGCTGTGATGTCCTTGTTAAGCACTTCGCTAAAATTGTTCACATCGAATCCAACCTGGACTAGATATCCCCCTTTCCGTGGAATACAACTATCAAATGATGATTTCCCACTGCAGCGGCGTTACAATGTGAACAGGGAACTTGTAGAGCTAAGGAGCTTGGACTGCTTTTTAAGCACAAAGAACTGTTTTAAAATAAATTAACCTGAGGGCGAAATCCAGGGACTGTACCCGTGCTACTCCCTTTTACTTAAATTCAATTCCACAGAGCTCCAGACACCATCAAGGCCACGGTTTCAGAGAAAAATGAAGAGTTAGCAGAAAGGAAGAGGAAGTGATGAAGCAAACCGGGACAGATTCTGGTTCCTCTGAATGGGAACCAGATTACATTTCGTGGCTGTCATTTAAAGCCATCTTCATAGCAATTCTGATATTTGAGAGCGCAGAGTTGCAGTCCCCCAACTTTGACAATAGGAAGAGATGCTTGTTTCTGGTGCCTAAACCTAAATAAATATTAAAATATTCTAAATATTATTCCCATGGTTCATATTTCAGAAACGCTTGAGAGAATCCTGGGACTATTTACAGAAAGAAATTATTTGCACTGTTGTTATAATTCTGTTATTTGCTCTGAGCTTCAACAAGAAAAGTGGATGATAAACAGAGCAAATAAAAAAACAGCTTCCCTGCATGTCACTGGCTAGGTTATGGGCAAGTGGAAAAGATTTTTATTCATCTTTTTCTCTAAAATATAGTTGGCAATTCCTTATGTTCCTGATGCTAACACAGAGAATCATGGAATTATAGAGTTGGAAGGGACCTCCAGGGTCATCTAGTCCAACCCCCTGCACAATGCAGGAAAGTACCTATATGAAAGTGCCTGTTTCTCCATAAATGGAGATAAGGGGAAGTGGTGGATGCTCCTTTGCTGGACGTTTTCAAGCGGAGGCTGGACGACCATCTTTCGGGTATGTTGTAGGGCTATCCTTTGGCTATGCTCCTGCAGAGTACAGGGGGTTGGACTAGATGACCTGCAAGGTACCTTCCAACTCTAACATTCTATGATTCTATGATACTTTATAACTCAGCACGAACTACCATAACATGTTGTGCCCCAGCTGGGCTAAGTTTATCAGGAACAACAAGCACATATTTTTTTAAAAGTACCTAAACTTTGGTTACTATATGGACTTGTCCCATTTCTCTCTATGGTTAATTCTTTTCATTCATTGAGATAGCAGCGACTATAAAAGGTACAAGAGAGAGATGCTGAAATCCGAACTCTCTGATGCTGTTTGCAGATATGAGGACATAAACCATTTATTCTGCCAAACTAACCTACTCTAAATGGTTTCTGGAAAATGCCCAGAAATGATACAGGGGCCATGCAATTTATTATAAAGATCTAGAACCAGACTAAACAACGACACTGAATAAAGCACAGGGAAGAATAATTTGGCCATGAATAACAGACCTCTTTCACGTCACTTCCTCATAAACCTTCATACTGTATCATCTAAGAACAATCTTTTAAATATATACCATCTGTATCAAGTAAGACACACCACATGTTTTTTCTTGTATTTGTTAAGTTAGTTGGAGCTACCTCCCCCCGCTAAACAGCACGTATTTCATAACTGTCTGAAGACATGGACTGCTATCATGAACCAAGGTAAACCCCAATCATTTGGTCATCGCCTCACTTACATTCTGCTAGCTGCTGAAACAGGTTATTTAACGTGTTCAACAGGTTTTTGCAAGGTTTCTTTGGCAAAATCTTCCATGCAATGTTTCTCTTCTCTCCAGGTCTAAAAGAAGAAGACGCATTTTAATACTTACAGAGAAAAGTATGGGGTTATTTTTTAAAATTCTTTGTCGGATCGCCTTTGGTGTACTCGTAGTTGGAAACAATGGCCTCATGTGAAAAATAACATCTAAATGCGCCAGTTCACACAGTAATGCCTGTAAATAGATGGCACCTCGCACAACGGGTCTTGTGCTGCTCTCAGATGGTTCGTGCACTTGCTCGGCTCTGTTGCTGTTGGAAACCCTCCCGTGATGGGCAGGGATTCCCCTCCCTCCTTTTCTGTAGGAAGCACTGAGCATACTGTTTGTCTCTATTAATAGTTTAAATGTTTTCCATTCCTTTGCTTCCATGCTAATTGAGTCAGCTTCTCCCCTTACAGCCCCCAGTCTTGCTGCCTCTGGGTAATGGTTACTTTCAATTGAGTTTTCCTTACGCAGGCGAGAGTTACACAGTGGGATACCTGAAATCTGCATGGGCACAAACAAGCTTACTAATATTTCACTTCTGACTAGGTGTGTGTGTGTGTGTGTATGTTAAACACTTACTCCCACCCTTCTTGGATAACATGTCCAACAGAACATGTATCAGAATAAATCATCCAGGCAGAGGCCCGATTTCTGCCTGATGCAGGGGTGGACGGGGACGCACGCAAGGCAGAGATGCTCCGCCAGGCCTTGGGTTGAGGCCAGCAACGGTTCCTTTACATCTGCCCGACACCCTCCCCTCGCCTCCCCCTCCCATGAAGATCTGAATGCTAAATAGGCCATCTTGTTTAACGTGTTTAAATATCTATGCTGAACGTTTCAATACTGAATCCTGTAGTTTTAACTGGTTTTTAAAATGGTATCGGATTTTGTGTTGCTGCAAACCGCCCTGAGGCCCCCGCGCAAGTGAGGAAGGGCGGTTAAGAAACCGAAATAAATAAATAAATAAATACATCAGCCTGGGAGCTATGCCAGAGTGTGGATGATCTGGTTGGGGTTACCTGCTACCCTGCTACCCTCTTCTTTGCAAACTAGCCTCAGCGTAGTTGGCAGGAAGAGGACAAGGGACAAGGGCAGCACACCTCTGCAGGACCTTCCCCCCTTTTCTGTCCACCTTCAGCTGATATAAGAAGTTGGCCTTCGAGACCTGTGGGGGGGGGTGTCCCATATCCCCCTCCCCATCACTGAGGCTGGCGAGGCCCCACCACCCACCACTCAGCCCCTCGGCAGCTGCTAGCATTCTTCACCACTGTGCCCGGGCCCACGGGGGCTACCAGCATCCTCCTCTGCTGCGGCTGAGTCTACAGCGGCTGCTGGCAATCACCGCCACTGCACCCAGGCACGGAGTGGCAGCCAGTTTGGTGCAGTGGTTAAGTGCACAGACTCTAATCTGGGAGAACCGGGTTTGATTCCCCACTCCTCCTCCACTTGCACCTGGCTGGGTGACCCTGGGCAAACCGTAGCTCTGATAAGAGCTGTTCTTGATAAAGAGCAGTTTCTGTCAGAGCTCTCTCAGCCCCACCTAGAAGAAGAGATTGGATTTATACCCCGCCCTTTACTACCCAAAGGAGTAGTCTCAGAGCGGCTTACAAACTCCTTTCCCTTCCCCTCCCCACAACAGACACCCTGTGAGGTAGGCGGGGCTGAGAGAGCTCTGACAGAAACGGCTCTTTTTCAAGAACAGCTCCGACAGAACTATGGCTTGCCCAAGGTCATCCAGCAGCTGCAAGTGGAGGGGTGGGGAATCAAACCCGGTTCTCCCAGATTAGAGTTCGCGCACTTAACCACTACACCAAACTGGCTCTCACAGGGTGTCTGTTGTGGGGAGGGGAAGGGAAAGGAGACTGTAAGCCGCTCTGAGACTCCTTTGGGTAGTGAAGGGCAGGGTATAAATCCAATCTCTTCTTCTTCTCTGCCGCGGCTGCAGGAGTCCTCCTCCGTGTCTAGGCCCACTAAGCTGGAGTGGCTCCCTAACCACGTTGTCCTGCGCATGTGCAGATAATGCAATTCTATTTGGATTTAGCCCCCCCCATCTGTGTGTGTGTGTGTGTGTGTGTGTGTGTGTGGGCAGATGGAATATGCTCTTAGCAGCCATCTATTTCAACAGTGCCTCTAAATTTAGCCA